ATGTTAACCAACGTTTCAGAGGTCATACTGCCTCCGTTGTCAGGGCGAGCCCTGCTGATGACGGAGACAGTATGACCTCTGAAACGTTGGTTAACATCGACCAGACTACACAGCGCAAAACCCAGAAGACAGAAATCTAACTTCTTATTTAATATCTGACAATTTTCTCACGAAAATAATGGAGACAAATGGAATTATCGTTTTGAAGCATTATATTAATGCAACTGACTCTGCATTTATGATAAATTAATTTCATAATTGGCCACTGAACTGAAAGACAAAGTTGTCGCTGGTTCTTATTCACCACGCCACGAAGACGTAAGAGAAGTGGAGGTTAACCTCCGCAAATTTTTGACGCTCCAGTAGTTTATCTTCAGTGTCCTCGGGAGGGAAGGTTAAATGGGACCCAGAGCCGGTCTGAAATGGTTGCTAAGAAAAATCCCTGCACGTGCCGAAACGTGCTGGCTGTAACATACTGTGTTATGCTATTTTATACTATAGTATTCGATACTTACTTTTCTGTATTATACTATACTATTTGAATAAAAATTTCCTTGGATATTTTCCATCGTCTAAGAAATAATAAAATATAAAACGACGTTTCGGAGATGGGGCTCTCTCCGTCTTCAGGTACCTACTCTGTTGGGCCCAATAGATAGAGCTAATCCCGGGATTTGATATATACTATACTAATTACCTTCCTGGTGTTTAGACCCTAAGGACAATCGGCAACTCTTAAGCCCTACATTGTAACTTTGTAGCAACAGAGTTCCATGTATTACATGTAATATTTGGGACAACATTTTTAATTACATGCATGTTACGAAAATTGCCTTTCCATTTATCATTTGTAGGTACTGTGTCGGTTCAGTTGAGTCCTACCCAGACCACTAGAATATTCAACGATATTCACAATAAAATGTCTGTACCCCAAACAAAGTTACTTATTCAGTGAATCGTAAATTTTGAATTTGACTACCTCAGTTAAAGTACAAGTACAGTAATTCTGAATTCAAACTTTATCTTATCATCTCTTTGTAATAAACAGTGGACCAATGTATTTCAATTCATATCCTGAGTAACAATCAGAAACCTATGAGTCACACTGAAATTACTATAATCATCCTAATTTAAAAAAATAAAATTTACCGACTCAAGAAGCCTTCTTTATAACAGGTCAAATGTAACCCATTTTAATGTGGATAGATGGATGGAGGAATAAATGGACGAATAGATTTATGCGGACTCATTGGAAGCGTATATTAGGCCTACAATTTTCGTATTTCATTTAAAGACAAATTCAATGAAGTTCTGGACGTGTGTGAAAAGTCCCCGCTCGAAATTCATTTCTGCAAGGCTGCCAATTTTCGCATCGCCCTATCATTTCAATATGTGTGCCTCCAGATTCACGATTATTTGATATCTCTGTCGAATTGTAAAAATAATTGAGAATAGTTCATTTCAAAAGTAATCATTATTTCGTCTTCTCCCCCCCCCCCCC